TACTTAGTTATTCTGTGACACTAGAAGTCATAAATCACCTGGACTTTTTTTAAAATAAGCATTCCAAAATTCTAAATTGCTTCATTTGCATCGATTAATTAGCTACATATCATTCTCTCAATACTGAATTAATATACAGACTGCGTTTTTTGCATGGTTCGCCAAATACAAAACTACATACGAGTACAATACCAATAACTTTCCCCCGGGACAAACTTGACCTTCACTGGTTGGGTTTTTATTGGCGGTCAAGCTGTAGATCCTGGCTACACAGGAGTTGCAGCGGTGGGAACGAGAGGTGGGAATAGTCCCATTAATACAAACGCTGTAAGAAATCTTAAGTTCAATAGTCGGCTGGGGGCACAAGTAAATCACGTGTATTTATTTCCAAGTTGGGTCTTGGGTATAGAAATTGAAAAAGACTTGCTTCGGAAGGCACGATAAGCCGTCGGGTCTAACTGTGTCACGTCATAACGTCTAACACCAGGCTTGTGACGTCAGTTATTGCAGTCTACACGATAGAGACGAATCATCATTATTATCGTCATCGGGTCATTTACCGATTTTGGCCTGAAAAATATATTTTTCTAAGTTATCTATGAATGGTCCCAGTTGCTACAATTGACCTACAACCCACACGCCAGCCAGAAGGGTCAGGGCGGCATAACGTTCCTTAATCGCCTCTTACATCTATGGAAAGAGTGAGTATATAAGAATGCATAACTTGTAAGAACTATTTATTAGTCTAAACAAATAAAGAAATTTTGACTTTTTTGACTTTTAACGATCAAACTGAAAGTTCAGCTATTTACAAATTCCATATAAGTTAATTTAGTACACATTAGAAATAACACTTGTGTGATACGACCGAAGACCTTGTCGGGCGTTTAAATAGGATATTTAATAACAAATAACTGAGAATATCAAATGAAGAATTTAGCAATACCAGACGCCACCTTGCTCATTACCATAATTATGGTGCAGCCTTCCAATTTAAAACTGTAAGGTTGTGATTTAATTGAATTATAATATGTAATCGAAAAAAATGGTTAGAAGGCTTTTGATTATCCTGAACGTAATTTATTCATAATATAAGCATAATTAACGCGTTGACTGATAGCTTAGGAATCAATCATATTTTTTATAATATGATCTCCCAAAGGTTAAAATAATATTTAAAAACTCATGAAACTCATTTATTTAAGCAAGTAGGCTTGTAAAAAGCGCTTTCCTTCGGGACAAACTTGACCTGCATTAGTTGGGTTTTTTATGGCGGTCAAGCTGTAGATCCTGGCTACACGGGAGTTGCAGTGGGGGGGACGAGAGGTGGGAATAGTCCCGTTGTATTAACCCAACACTGCGTCAGGACAATAAATGTGCCAGTGCTGAGAAGAAGCAGAGCAAGAAATTCGGTCACTATTGTTTCGTTTCGTTTGTTGTTTCAGCTAAAGCACGCTCGCGCGTAATTATGTTGCTGTCGCGCTCGCACACTCACTGCGGGCGCGCGTCGCACAGTCGCGACAGCAATATAATTACGCGCGAGCGATAAGGATGGGTAGCTTGGGGTCATTGGACAAAATTCTACGTGCTCACGGACCAGGCTTTAAATGACATAATTATCATCCATAACGACCGGTCCTGCGCTACCCGCTTTCAGGTACTTCCTGCTAGCTTCACCAGATCGTCAGAAAATAGTCTTAATTCAAGTAAGTTAATGGTCTCATTAAATTTTTATTGTGAGTAGAATACAAATTTTAGGATAGTCACAATAACAAGAAAAAGAAATAAAGAAGTTGGAAAAGAAAATCTTAAGTGGTCTTATTGGTAAGAAGCGTTCTCGTGTAAGCAACCCAGAGAGAGGACCAATATTACACTTTTGTTTTTATAATAATAATTGGTCTCTAAATCATGTTGATATCTTATTTAACGTGCTAATAACAGGTTGCCCGTCCATCAGGAAACCGGCTGTCACTTCTGCCAAATAAATTAATGTGAGTATTTTTTTTTAAATTAATGCCACTTGCGGATTTGCGAATCTGCCGATAATTCATTCTGTGCTTGAGTAAGACGCGTGGGTCAGAGGTGTAAGATCAAAAGTGATTTTTATGCAGTATTTTGATCCATTGATTGATTACTGATAAGCTTAGTACTACAGTCGACTAAACATTGTTGTTGCAAATTAGCACCTATTTATTATACCAATGACCTATATATATAAGATAGCCAATGTGTAGCTTTATATGCCGTCGAATGTACTAGTCATACAGGGTTAATTGCATTGATGGGTTGTCACATCATCATCCTACGGCCTGTAGATGTCCACTGCTGAACATGGCATAGTGGGGGGTGCATGGTGCATTCAAACTTGATTGAAACCTTCCAGACCTTTAAAACTTCTGAAAAGGATCTTCTGAACCACCAGAATAGGCAGAGCGAAAAGGTGTTATATCTACCCGGAGTAAACCCATGTATTATAAAAATACCAACCGAATTGAGAACCTCCTTCTTTGTTGAAGTCGACCCTTAAATCATCTTTGTCACTAGGAGCGGTTCAGCAGTGAGTCTTTTTGACCTCGGCGAAAACAACTATATTGTGCTCAATCGTAAAGTAGGTAAACGAAATAATTCCATTGTGAATCCGATGACATTTTAACCGAAATATTTTTGCCGATTAAAATTTTACACTCGTTATAAATTGTAGTATAAATGTTAAATTAACAAACTCAAGGCTTGTTGAATAAATAAATTTTTAACAACTATGAACGGTAGCTAAAAACTTGTGAAATACTTAAAATATTTTATTTTACACAAGGAAAAAATTGGTTTTGCGAGCTTCATTTGTATGCTGATTCGTTAAAGAATCGACAAAATCTAAAAGTTTTAGCAGAAGTAAGTTTCGTGCAATAAATCTAATTTAGTTAATGAAATGATCTTTATAAACGAAGTTTTGATCTCTTATAATTTCTAACACATGATTGACCTCAGAATTTACAGATTTATTTTTTTATAAAATATAAAGTTTTTTTTTTATAAAATGCGATGTTATTTGGACTGAAGATGTTTGTTAAAACTTTTGTCCTTTTCTGACATAGCAAGGGCGGCTGTGACGGGACAGCGTCTGATCGGCAAGGTCTTGAAGTTCGAAGAAAATATTTTCTTAACTTACAAGTCATGACTAACTAAAACCTAATTAGTCCAGTAGAATTAGCTTTTAAATCAAAAATAATTCCTACAAAAGATTTTATTGTTTTAATGGCTTCATTGGTTGCCCATTAAGACTCTCCTAAGTTTTCGACTTCGACGGAGTTGTGCTTAAGTGGTGGGGGCCCCCGAAAGGGGCATTTTTTCGGTTTTCCGGTTATACCGCGTAAAGGACTTACCCTATCAAAAAGTGGTCTTCATGACGGTTGAAGGGCACTTAATCCTGCATTGAATAAGACCAAATTCATATGTTTTGGACAAACCGTTCTCGCGCTAAAGTTCGGCAAAGTAGAAAATATACGTATAATTAATGACCCTCTCCACGTCCAATGGCTTGTTACCCACATGCTTCCAAGCCTTGTAAAGGGTCGCCTTAACCAGTGTAACCCTAACAAGGCTCACGAGTTTGATTCGCTTATCCTTGTTCGTCCCAGCCGTTCCTTAACTGCGGTTGCTGCACCTCTTCCTGGCACTCACCTGAACGACTCTGTGTTACCTACTGTGGCTGCCCCTCTTCCTTGTATCCTCCTGCATGACTACGTTGCCTAGCCGTATGCCTGGTCTAAGGTTCGACGCCAAAAATCAACAACAACAAGTTCATATTAAAACGCTGAAGAGTTTTTTGTTTGTTTGTTTGAACGCGCTAATCTTAAGAATTACTAGTTTGATTGAAATCATTATTTTTGTGTTGAATAGCTCATACATTGAGGAAGGCTATAGGATATATACAATCACTCTACGACTAATAGAGGCGAAGCAGTAAAGAAAAATGTTGCAAGCACGGGAAATAGTATTTAAACTATTTTCACTCGTACGAAGTTGATTTTGTGGCGTCGAACCTTGGACCAGGCATATGGCTAAGCAATGAAATCGTACAGGAGGGTACAAGGAAGAGGGGCAGCCACATTAGGTAACACAGAGTCGTTCAGGAGAGTGCCAGGAAGAGGTGCAGCAACCGCAGTTAAGGAACGGCTGGGACGAACAAGGATAAGCGAATCAAACTCGTGAGCCTTGTTAGGGTTACACTGGTTAAGGCGACCCTTTACAAGGCTTGGAAGCATGTGGGTAACAAGCCATTGGACGTGGAGAGGGTCATTAATTATACGTATATTTTCTACTTTGCCGAACTTTAGCGCGAGAACGGTTTGTCCAAAACATATGAATTTGGTCTTATTCAATGCAGGATTAAGTGCCCTTTAACCGTCATGAAGACCAATTTTTGATAGGGTAAGTCCTTTACGCGGTATAACCGGAAAACCGAAAAAACGCCCCTTTCGGGGGCCCCCACCACTTAAGCACAACTCCGTCGAAGTCGAAAACTTAGGAGAGTCTTAATGGGCAACCAATGAAGCCATTAAAGCAAAAAAATCTTTTGTAGGAATTATTTCCGATTTAATCAATTTTTGTGTTTAATTCTACTGGCCTAAATTGGAATTCCGAGAAATTTACGTCAGAATACAAATGAATATTTTTTTGGTGATCGATATTTCTAGGGTTTTAAAAGATACTGTTTAATATTATTAATCAAATAAACAATATTCTCTAAAACTTTTTGGTGGAAATAAATGGATATCGTCTACAAATTTTTGATTTGCCAACATTTCAGTGATTTGAGATTATGTTTCAACGAAGGAAACACTCGTGCTGTACTCAAAAGTACCTTTAAATATTATAGTAGTATTTGCTAAAAAAGTGTATTTATAGTTCAAACACTTAGTCCATAATTTGCCCTGGTTGCCAATTTTTCTAGGCCTTTTAAATAAACCACAACATCATGCAAGCGGAAAAAGAAGTATTACGTACCTTTGTCTGTTGACTCTGGGGCGAGTCCTCGTTCGCAGCGAGTGGCTCCACCTGCAAAATAAATAAATATTAGGTTCTTGTTACCAAGCAAATATAATATTTCAATAAAGTGAAATAATACATTATTTTTCATCATCACAGAATTATGAGAACATGTCCAAAAGAGGGGTTAGTACAATTTAATAGCATAGACCACAGTTGTTGAGTGTTGTTACACACATCAATGCTGGTTAGGTACATTCTTTCTATCATTTAATCATAAGGTATTCACTAAACATAAAAACTAAGTGTTCTTTAAAACTCATTTTTTAATTTGACCTAAACAGTTCAAAACACAGTAGACACATACGATTAACAAACAATAGGCGTCAAAGTCAGCCCAAAAACATGATTTCTGCTGTCATTACCCATTTGGACACGCCTGCCACACATCGTCATTATAATTCACACGCTCAACATGCGACGCCCATTCGGTCATGTTCTGTCTAACGAGACTCATACGCTCCCGACTTGTCGTTTTTGACATGAATTCTAAATATAATGTATAAGTTATTACTTAAGTTTTTGGTACGGATAGCAGCCACCTTGCTCTCGCTGCGACTAGAGACCCACCCAGAAAAGTTGTTGTTCATAGATGTAAATAATATAGCATATTTGTAGAGGTCGCTGTTGCATACTTTCAGTAGGTGTGTCCGTTTACCTTAAGGCAGCCTTAGTTCATCAGGAATTTGGAAATATGTGAAGTAATTAGTTAAAAGCAACGTCGTTAATAGAATATTAATTTAAGAGAACAGTAGACCTTGCATATAAAGTTTGGACAGTTTTATATTTCACTATCATAAAAGATTTTAAAAAAAGATTTTTTAGAAGAGAAGATTAAAATAATGAAGGCAAAAAGAATAATGATGGTTTATCTATTCTTAAATTAAATACACGAGTGCACAAGAAAGACTGCAATGCGGCAAGAATGGCGACGGATTGTTGAGCTTGCCAGCAAGCCGGGTGTGACGACCACGACCACTCTGGTAAGTGATAAAGAAGAAATTAAATACACTGAAAAAAATGTTTGGTTACTACTTACACAACAAAAGTGACCACCGAACTAAGTGTTAATTATAACCAAACTAAGTCTAGCTCACTACAGAATTTGTTTAATTTACACAACATTTTGTTCCTCATAACCAAAGTGTTCGGTGGTCACTTTTGTTGTGTAAGCAGTAACCAAACATTTTTTTCAGTGTACTCGTATCATTCTAAATTAGGGAAAACTGAGGCTACGAACCCTGTATCAGAACCTCCTGAGATCGATTAAGCTAGACATTTCACTTGGATCGGTTAATAAAATTAATTATAACTTAATCACTTATTAGACGCGATACGCGATTAGGTAATAATAAAATATTACCGGATTTGCTTGGTTTTGCACCGGCCACGGTCACGGGCTGACTGGAGCGTCGAGTGCGCGATCCATATGGTGGGTAGAATCATCTAATTCTACCCTCATGTTATTGTTTCTTCTCCAAGTACCGTCACACACTACACTAATTGTGTCCCTATTCTGTAAGACCGTCGGCGCATCCGTATTCCGTTGTCGATTCCACTGTGAAGTGAGATTGAAAACTGTTTATGAAAATAAAACTATTAATCACTGTATTTTATCTAGCAGAAAGATTGAATACGTTTACCCGATTGAAAGTTTTATAATTTGTATAATTTGATCAATTACCCCCTTACTAATAAAAAGTTACACAGTTGTTGAACACTGTTTTAAAATGACATTTCCATACCAATGGTCACTTTAAAACACTGTTCAACGAGCGTATAAGTTTTATTAGTAAGGGGGTTAATGTTTAAGAGTTAGGTACATAAGGAACTGCATAAATGTGCTTTCTATTAATTTATATCTTTCTATAAAAAAAATTATGTATTACAAAGCCTTATAATTACAATAACATCTGTATAAAACAGAGTAGCAAAGAAAAATATTTTAGCTGAGCATACGCAACATACAGCAACGCGAATCACCTTAAGATTAATGTAATAATTCGCCTATAAAAAGTCACGATATGACAGACAGACACCTCATTATCTAATAACTAGACCAATTGTTTTTACCAGCCTGTCTTACCCGTGGCAATGTGCAAACCTTTGTTATGGCTATTAATTTATTACGACCGGTTACAATAGATTTATTTATTCATCATATTATACACAATTTAAATGAACTGTGCGAAACGAACTCGGGTCAAGGTCGAAGAAAATCGGAGTGAAGCATGTTCGGGTTTCTCTGATGAGCTGGCGCTTTGTTCGTCCAAGGCTGGCGCTGATAGTCGGCTTTTCAAAATAAACTTTCTAGTGCTGTTCCTGAATATGGCTCATAGGATAATGCATAGTTGGACACCGTATAAGCGTGAATTTGCTCGTTATTTAACTACACTAATATTATAAAGAAAAAATATTTTTTTAATTGAATAGGCTCCGGAACTACTGGATGGATTTGAAAATTCTTTCACCATTAGAATCCTACATTATTTCTGGTGCCAAGTAACTGGTCAGCTTTTTTCATGAACATTAAAGTGTTGTGTTTCGTATTACTTATAGATTACATTTTAAGTATATTTTTTGCTATAAGTTATGGAATTTTTTCTGGCCTATCCTAAGAAGGCTTATTATTAAAAGAAGGATGTATCACCAGGCGTCGTCCTAATTGGCCAACGGTCTCGCGACGAGCGATGCGATGTCGTCTGTCGCGCAACGTGATTAAATACGGGTACATAATTTCGGTAGCGCATTTTCNTGTCTGTTATAAAGTAAATTATTCTGAACAACAACATTACGAGTTGAAGTATGTTCTTAGTAACAACATTATTAATTAAAACAATATGATCAATGAATGTTATGAAGAAAAAAGATCTGAAAATAAAAATTATGTATTTTAAATGGTTCTTGGTAGTAACAGTTGAGCTCCGATGGTAGTAATAAAAATGTATGAATAAAAAAAGTATGAAAAATAAAATTATGAAGAGAGATTATTATGAACACAAATCGGTAGTAAGACAAAGAATAGGATTTACAATTTTATGTGAGCCAATATAGAACCATAAATTTCTCTGTCCAGCAGTGGACGTTATTTGGCCGAAACGAACATAAATCTCTTTAAAGTGTCCTTTTTTCACCGCGACAAAATCGTATCAGTTTGGATGACGCCAGAGTTGGTAATGATATAATTGGTACTACGAGTATTAGTTGACAGAAAGTATTTTATCCACGCAATGTCGGACCAACGAAAGTTGATTGAGTCGTTAATCCGTTACTCGAAGTTTAACTTTGTTAATTAAAAATTAATGGTAAACATTAAATACAAATAATATAAGAGACTTCAAAAAATATATTTAGCTTACAAAGAGAGGATAGAGGGATTAAAAAAAAAGCCTAAACGGTGATGTACAAACTGCAACCTCAGCTAGCTAACCTAGTTTCAGCATATTTTAAAGGATCACTGTGTTAACGTGCTGGTTGGAAGGACCATGGCTGACCTGCTTGAGTTCCTCGCCTTTTTTTTTTTTTATGCGTCAGGAAAATGTATTGAAATGCATACCCACCGGTCCGGGGGTTCCGGTGGGTTATGTGGGGCTGCCCCAACGCTTGCACTAAGCCTTAGCTAGGTTCACGGACACAGTTTTGTTCGCGGTCAAGTGCCGTTGACACGAAAGAAGACTCTACTTGGTGTCTTCCACATTGGTGGTTTAAGGCCTCATAAGAGTCTCTGTGCAGTGCATTGAAGGCACCAGACTCTAACTCAGGAATCAGAAGACAGTTGTTTATTTAAAATGTAGAGTTAATTTTCTTTTTAGTGAAAAAGAAAATATTGTAAATTATAAATGTTGTCATGGTGTTCTGTGTGTGCCTGCATAATATGAGCATACTTAAGTTTCATCGTAAATACAAGTTCGCTAAAATAGATTAAACTATGTTAATTGAATCTAAAAATGCTAATAACCTCAAATAAAAAAGCTTGTTTCAAATCCGCCCAGGACTCCTACTAAAGCGGAAAGTTCCATGTTAAATAAAATCATCACAAATACCGAAAGTTCCATGTTCAATCAATCAACAAAGCACAAATAAAAATTCAAATATATAGGCATCTGTAACACGCCAAGTGTCAGGCTACGAGCNCGAAATCAAGCGAGATTGAAAACTATTCATCACTGGATTTTATTTAGCAGAAAGTTTGAAACCGTCTTTCCGGTTGAAATTTTTATAACTTGGTATTTGATCCATTAGTATTTAGGTATTAGGTAAAAATTGGCTTTCTATTAATTTGTCTTTATGTCAAAACAATTATGTATTATAAAGCCTTATAATTACAATAACATCTGTATAAAACAGAGTAGCAAAGAAAAAGATTTTAGCTGTGCATACGAAACATACAGCAACGCGAATTACCTTAAGATTAATGTAATAATTCGCCTATAAAAAGTCACGATATGACAGAGAGACACCTCATTATTTAATTACTAGATCAATTGTTTTTATCAGCTTATCTTACCCGTGGCTATGTGCAAACCTTTGTTATGGCTATTAATTATTACGACCGGTTACAATATGAGATTTATTTATTCATCATATACACAATTTAAATGAACTGTGCGAAACGAACTCGGGTCAAGGTCGAAGAAAATCGGAGTGAAGCATGTTCGGGTTTCTCTGATGAGCTGGCGCTGATAAGTCGGCCTTTCAAAATAAACTTTCTAGTGCCGTTCCTGAATATGGCTCATAGGATAATGCATAGTTGGACACCGTATAAACGTTAATTTGCTCGTTATTTAACTACACTAATATTATAAAGAACAAAGACAGGAATGTTTGTTTGTTTTTATTGAATAGGCTCCGGAACTACTGAACGGATTTTAAAATTCTTTCACCATTAGAATCCTACATTATTTAATACTAACTTTCCGCCCGCGGCTCCGCCCGCGTGTAATTTTTTCTGTCACAGAAAAACTTTACCGCGCGCATCCCTTTTTCAAAAACCGGGATAAAAACTGTCCTTTATCCTTTCTCGGGACTCAAATTTCATCAAAATCGGTTCAGTGGTTTAGGCGTGAAAGCAAAACAGACAGACAGAGTTACTTTCGCATTTATAATATTGGTATAGAAGCATAGATTCTGTTGCAAAGTTCCTGGTTAGCTAGTTTCATGAACATTAAAGTGTTGTGTTTCGTATTACTTATAGATTACCTTTTAAGTCTATTTTTGCTATGAGTAATTAAATTTTTGTGTGGCCTAACCTAAGAAGGAATATTATTAAAAGAACGATGTATCATCAGGCGTCGTCCTAATTGGCCAACGGTCTCGCGACGAGCGATGCGATGTCGATGATTAAATTCGAGTCAGTGTTGGCAAAAAGTTAATCTGATTAATGATTAAAAAGTCCCTCCTGGGAAGGGGTTGCTAAACTAGGAGATTTTGCGTGTTGGGGAGGTGCAGGAGACTTCGTACCAGAAGTTTCAGGGGCAGGGGCAAGTGTGGGCAAGTCAATAGAAGGGTGGGGTTGCTTAACTAGGAAGTTTTGCGTGTTGGGGAGGTGCAGGAGACTTCGTACCAGAAGTTTTAGGGGGAGGGGCAAGTGTGGGCAAGTCAATAGAAGGGTGGGGTTGCTAAACTAGGAGGTTTTGCGTGTTGGGGAGGTGCAGGAGACTTCGTACCAGAAGTTTCAGGAGGAGGGGCAAGTGTGGGCAAGTCAATAGAAGGGTGGGATGGCTAAACTAGGAGGTTCAGTTTCACGAAGGTTACCTTATATTTATCTAGGTATGACCTGTCATAGAATTGTAGCCTAAAACCAAACATTTAAAATTAGAATTCAATGTTTTAAAATTGTTTTCGATAGAAAATATAAGAAGTTAATCAAATTAATGATTATTGATTAACAAATTAATCGTGATGATTATTTTAATCAGGATTAATTCAATCATGATTAAAATTAATCATATTAATTAATTGATTAAAATATTAATTGATTAGTGCCAACACTGATACGAGTACATAAATTTATCTGTCCAGCAGTGGACGTTATTTGGCTGAAACGAATACATATTTAAATCTTTTTAAAGTGTCCTTTTTTCACCACGCGACAAAATCGTATCAGTTCGGATGACGTCAGAGTTCGTAATGATATAATTGGTACTACGAGTATTAGTTGACAGAAAATATTTTTATCCACGCGATGTCGGACTAACGAAAGTTGATTGTTACTCGAAGTTTAACTTTTTAAATACAAATAATATAAGAGACTTAAAAAAAAGCATATTTAGCTTACAGAGAGAGGATAGAGGGACTAAAAAAGTCTTAGCAGTGAAGCACAAACTGCACCCTCACCTAGCTAACCTAGTTTCAGCGTATTTTAAAGGATCACTGTGTTAACGTGCTGGTTGGAAGGACCATGGCTGATCTGGTTGAGTTCCTCGCCTGCCCCAACGCTTGCACTAAGCCTTAGTTAGGTTCATGGACACAGTTTTGTTCGCGGTCAATATAGTGCCGTTGACGCGAAAGAAGACTCTACTTGGTGTCTTCCACATTGGTGGTTTAAGGCCTCATAAGAGTCTCTGTGCAGTGCATTGAAGGCACCAGACTCTAACACCTCAGGAATCAGAAGACAGTTGTTTATTTAAAATGTAGAGTTAATTTTCTCATGTGTTAAAAAGATAATATTGTAAATTGTAAATGATATCATGGTGTTCTGTGTGTGCCCACATAATATGAGCTTAAGTTTCATCGTAAATACAAGTTCGCTAAAATAGATTAAACTGAGTTAAATTGGAGCTAAAATACTAAATAATAACCCCAAATAAAAAAGCTTGTTTCAAATCCGCCCAGGACTCCTACTAAAGCGGAAAGTTATTAAAAGGTTAAATAAAATCATCACAAATACCGAAAGTTCCATGTTCAATCAAATACACATAACGCACAAATAAAAATTATAACTTTTATAGGTATCTGTAACACGCCAAGTGTCAGACTACGAGCCGCCTGAATCCTTTTCATCTCGCGCAAGGCTTCTTTCAGGACGCTTGCGGCGCGTATATATTGTCTGGGCGGCCGCGCGAGCGGGTCATAAGAAACTGCGCGTGCGACCGGCTGCCGTGTCGCGTGTGTCGATATGCAGTGAGTGTGTTAAACAGCTGAAGGAAACATGGTGAGCTTATTTCAATTACATTCTAGGATAGTGATAAAAAATTAGGAAAGTGAGGTGACCGTGATCCCGTGAAGATTCTTTTGGCGCGCCGAAATATCGATTTGGTCGTGAACAGGATATCGATACGGTTGTTATTATTATAATATTAAGTCAGGTTTGCCGCGCCATTTGAACTTTGCTAATTAATGTTGTTGAATGTTGATATTACAAATTAAATATCAGACACATTTTATTATAACATAAAAATAAGAATAACTTTATTTTGTTTGGAAAAACATAAATGGAATCTAATTTAAAAGGTGGCAAATGTTATGATAAATTTTAGTAGGTAGTATATAAAACTTTGAAAACATTTGACAATAATAAAACTCAATAATCCAGTGATCATACAAAATTGACATCTAATATTTCCATACAATAATTGCATCACAGTTGAAGTGAGATCAATCAATTTAACATCGAAATGTCAACTACAACGACAACTTATAGTTTTGCAAACGACATCATCAAACGATTACGAATTTACGACGTGAGCGACAAAAACTTAAAAGCGAAGTCTTCATTGCAAAGCTCATTAAGTCGAGCATAAAACTAATCATACGAATGATTATTATAGGTCAAACAAAATGATAAAGTTCAAATTAATATGCAATTTATTCCAATACACGGCTTTGGACTTGTAGAATAATTTATTGAAATATAAGAGGACTGTTTGACGGTATAACCTCAGAGAAGTTTAACTAAATAGTATTTACCTATTTTTATAATATTCATTGTTACTCGAAGCTTTAGGAGTTTATGCCCATTTTCACCATCAATCCCTAATTTTTAAGTGACCCCTATGGTAACACATAACAGGAATTTTGTTTTAATAAGGGTCACTTAAAAATTGAGGATTGATGGTGAAAACGGACATTAGTGTACAATATAAGGGTTTATATTTAACTTCAGACTAGTTTCCTTAAAAATATGGACCTCAAAATGTGTCAAATATCCAAAGTGTGGTCAAATGGATGTGAAAAATCGGAGTGTCGTGATATTTTCAAATCGATGTAATATTTGAGTTTGAATCAAACTGATTGTACGACAAGAAGTAAAGAATTTCCTCAGAGCTTTCACTCAAGTTCAGTTTCAGTAAACATACAATAAATCTTCAAATTAAGTATTATTTAAAAATAATCAATTTTTGTTCAATGTCATTCCATTTTAAAGTTTTGTTAATACTCGTTTATCGAGGTATTGGAAAGGATAAAACAGGTTTTTTGAAGACGATTAAAATATTTACATTATTGCATGACCCGACGCATAATATCAGCGGGAGGTCTAGGTTAAATGCATACTGTATTTCAAGGACATACGAACCGAGAGAAATTCTAGAATTGGAAAAATATTATGATTGAATCAAGAATCGGTATAGTTCCAAAATACTGAACTGTTCTGTGCATGACATTTGAACGATGGTAGCACCTCCCTGTCATTGAGTTTGGTGGGACAGTTCAGCGTGGGTCATCTATAAATTGTTTTTTTTTTACAGTCAGCGTATAGTCCATAACACCCAAAGTGACAAAAAAAATGATAACACAACCTTATTTCGAGTAACTAAGACGTGTTGCGAACTTTTTGGCTTCTTTGGATGTCACGAATGTTTGACGTTGACTGTACTTACCAACATAAAATTCTTCTCGTCGCCAAAATCAAGGACATCACCATATTTGTCTCGATATTGACGTCATTGATTTCAATATTATTAAGAGCTTTTAAGAGCAATCCATAATAGAAACTTGAAGAGGCTCGTTAAATTTAAGAACAGGTAAATCCGTAAATCATATTGTAACTATGTTCATATCGAACAAACAGGTTGATTTTCAATATTCTGAATTTGTATTTTCAATAATTACTATTATGTATTCTAAAAATAGATTGTATTTAAGTTTATTTGTATACTAGTAGAACATGCTACTTGGCTATAAAGTGCAATATAACAAATTTTTTTTTTTAATCTGTTACCTTTTCGATTTTTTATAAGACTGGATAATGTGAATCATGGATTAGGACCATCCTCATTGAGATTCTGGTCTAGTCTTGGATCTATTGCTAGGCCATCATTAAAACTTAACCAGTGGTTAATATAATCATAAGCAAAGTTTAAACTGTCCAAGGACTTCAAACAAAATTGATACAGCAAAACTTCGAAGCATCTGACTAGTAAAAAGTGGATGACTAACGAAGAGCAACCTTGAGAAAGAAATATCCATAATGTATCTTCATTTTACTACAAGGACCTGTCACTCAATCATAATAAATATGACTGTCAAATCTCTACAATTTGTCAGTTAGGAAGTCTGTCAAAGTTTAAATGCATTATTATGCATTTATCTAAGCATTATTGCGAAGCATTGATCGCAGCCTATTGAAGCGATAAAAATTAAATTAGGTACATTGTGGTATTTGTGGTAGCAGTTGCTAACCAACAGAAATAAAAATAGCCATTTTGGTAATCTGTTATATTTTTATGACTTGGAATGAGATCCGTGATAGAACTAATTTACATTTTCGTCCAATCCAATTTGAAGACCCATGTTTCACATAAACATTTAGGTACGACTCATTAGAAAAAATGGTTGTCATTAGTAGAAGACATTAGTAGAATATTTGTTTGATTTTTACCCTGCTTTTGAATGCCCTAAATTGATGAACATCCTTACTTTCATTACAGGGCGAAATTTTTAAAATTTTAGAATTTTTAGGAGCGACTCAGAATCAGTAACTTAATCGATTTAGGTACGTAAAGATTTTTTTTTTTCATATTTAAAGATTTTTATCCCCTGTGCGCGGTTTCAAAATTCAAAATTGGCACACGTGGATAATTTACTTCGTTCATAGAAAAATAAGTACACACAAGTAACTGCAAAGCTTAATAGACATAATGGTACGCGAAAATAAGCCTCAACCTTTAAAACTTAAGATATGAGCACCTGCGAATTAGATTGTCAATAATTTGCGAAAATACCACAATTAAAAATAATTAAGATAAAGTAGTATTGTTACATTTTTTAAAAGAGCTTATTAAAAATTTGGATACTGTTTACAAAATCACCCTGTATACGAGTAATAAAGGTGTACAATGTACAAGCCGCGAGTCATTTGTCATCAAACAAACTATGCGCTATGCGTTCTGTAGAACACAATCATTTGGCACCGGCACATTCCAATTGGTAACCTTATGCGTGTTTACCTATTTACTTAAGTCGTGTTCGAACGACCTTTTTTTAGGTGCGATTTGACATTGTTTATTGATAAAACAATTTAAAAGTTGGGAGCATTCAAAACAAATAGATATGTAGAGTTGGTTAGTTTTGATTCGATTAATATATTTTTTTATTCCTATCCGTGGTCTTTAATCCTTCGCATAAAAGATTTGTAATTGGAAAATCATTATTTTAAAAATCGGGCACTTTCCCAATCTATTTGTACTTTTTCAAAAATTTAATTGCAAACATGATCCCAACAAAACCTAAATATAAAGCTAATAACAGTTCAAGAACGTGACGGAAAAGTTACTTTTGACTTTTGGTCTTAAAAAAGTAAAGTAAGTAATGGAAAGCTCCACTGAGTCATAAGTCATACATATAGGAGTGTATTATCGCTAGCGATAGGAGAAATATGATAGAATCTGCCAGCACCTACGCAATGCAAGGTGTTAAGTCGTAATTACTGCTCAATCATAGATATCATCATTTCATACAACATAATACACAGATTTCATGGTAAAGCTCCTCCAAACGAAACCAGCTAGCCGACCACGCTCATGCACAAAATATTGAGGCGAGAGTTGGATGCGCACGCGGCGCAGTGACGCAACGAAGGCCACGCAAAGGTCACGTGGACGACACTCGAACTGATCCTAGTATGGGCATTTCGAATTCCAGCATAAACTATCTAAAGTTGTCTATAGAAATTATCTAAAATATCAACGATACACGTTACGAATATACTTAAGACTTTAAAGGCTGGCCTTTGTGTGTTTATTCTGCCACTATGTGTATTCACTTCTCTATAATATCAATCCTTAATAACGAAGTCTTCATATGCTCTTCTGAATTTCGTTGCGAGACCAATGACAGTTTAACTGTCCCCGGGGACAAACTGGGCCTGCACGGGTTGGGTTTTTATTGGTGGTCAGCAGCCAGCAGTCTTGTGTAGCCAGGATCTACAGCTGTAGATCCTGGCTACACAAGAGTTGCAGCGGTGGGAATGAGTGCTGGAAATAGTCCCGTAAGACGACAAAATAAAATATTTTGCGATTTTTGGTCTCATGATACAAAAACTTCAACAAAGGCTATTTAAACTGGATTCACCAAGTGCGTCAAAGGTTGAAGGATGCTGCACTTAGAAGTTTTACATTTTTCGTAACTTTCCGGCAGAATCAACATTTTTTCTTAGAAACAAGTGCTTATTTTGAGTCTACTTTTCAGTGAAATCAATAATGAATGTCTGCCAGTGAGATGCACCTTACCGAATGAACTCAGTGACGCAACGAAGGCCGTTGTGTAAAGGTCACTTGCCAACCGAAATACTAAAGCTACTTTAATTTCAATCTTTAACTCCATATTATGGAAATTTTAGGCTTTTAGACGTCAATTGCTAAATTTGGCCTGCTATGTTGATTCCTACTGGCGTCCACTCAGACTGTATTAGGTCGTCGGTCGATCCGTCAGGTGCTCTACTATATGCTCTACTATACGCTTGCTGTACATCACTGATCTAACTTAATTCTGCCCAACGGTCAAGCATATTGGGCAGTCAAATACAGTTTTTAAAATACACAGCTAAAAAGGAAGTGTTATAAATATTAATGAGTCTGAATTTACAGATGTAAATTACAGTATTCAAAAGGCATAATACACATGGAAACGAAATTCCCGGATGCTATCAAAATTAAGTTACAAGAAATAATACGTATCTAAATAGGTCGAAGGTGTTCGCATAACACGGCTGTT